GTCAATGTCACAAAGATTGCCTTATTCAGAATATTTCCAGTTTTGCTGCCCAAAAATCGCATTGCATGCCTTTAACAGTTTTCTTAGTGAGTGCTCTAAGATAAAAGAGTATGCTGTATTCATGAGTACTTTTTGTGCAAAATCACGACTTCGAATTCACTGTACGTCGCGGATATGATACAATGTACTTTACGCAAGTGTACATTGTCAGTTCTAATTCTAATGCCATTGTCTGTGTTTAACATGTTGAATAATGTTTCTTATATGCATTTGTGAGTATTAATCTGTACATACAATAATAAACTCCGTCCCTTCACAAGTCAGTTTCTTTGTTCTTCTGTGTATAATGTACGCTAGAAAAACGGAATAGAAAAACCAAGATTGAGCTTTTCTTTCAGTTTTAACTCAATAATGCTACTGAGAAAAAGAAAATGAACTTACTCGTACAAAGTGTATCTTTGATCTCATTATCTTATTCTCCCTAAATCATGATACTCATATTATAGCTTTTTGGGAAAATTAGCCTTTGTACAAAATGAGGGATCGAGAATAAACTGATATCACTCGCAAAGTGCCCAAGTGGTTTAGGCCATTGCTGCATGTCCACAGCGCCACCTAACTGTTGCTACCAAAATTGCAGACAATTTTTCAAGATAGGCATATAGGCACTAGTATACAATAATAATTTCTCACAACTTTCATGAAGACTGATTGAAAATGATTGCCCGTCCAGACTACATCCTTCAATATTATAAATTTTAAAAACTTTCTTGATAATATATATCTATGTAACGTTACTACTTGAACCCATAAATAATATGTCTGACACTTTCATAAAAGATATGCTTTATTCCTTCACCAAATTGAAACTGACATACATTACAATAGATCATACAACATTGCTGTTGCTCCTGGTATAGATAAAAATACATGAAGTTGACCAATACCATCACCAAAATATAATATCATCACTTTAAGAAGAAAAAAGTGTGCAAATGTCGTTAATACAAGAATTGGCAATACCACACAGTGGCAATATATGATTTCACTGCAGAAATAAATTGTGACATTAAGAGTACATATCAAGGCTAAAACTACTATGGTATAACAGCAATTTGAACGAAATACTTTGGAGTAGCATGATGGTATGTAAAATTGAACGCCAAAAGTAAAATACTTTGTAGCATGATGATGGAATGTATGGGCCACACATACAAATCTAAGGGGGCCCGCAAGCCCTTTTCCGTAGAGCGTAATCGGCTGTTTTAATTCTACTTACAACGTAGACGGACTGCTCAAATATTTTTGCGTAGAGCGTATTCGGCGTTTTAATTCTACGTAACGCATTGTAGCACTTGGAATTTATCGTAAAGAGGTTTCCTAATTCAGCGTAGAGCGTTGTCGGGACCCCCCCTTGCAGGCCCTCATCTAATGGAACACTGTCTATTTTTTTGTACAATGATGTTACTAGTATTTCTTGACAAAGTGATTGAGTTCATAATCTCAGAACAACAACTGCATGTGCATGTTCAGTATATACACCTGTGGTATGTCTTCACAGCATTGCACACTGAAGTTAAATCTGGATAATGTTTATCATATAGTAATTGTTACAGAATGATGTTCTTATGCCATTGAATTACTGCATATATGTAAGACACATTGTTCCAATTTCATGCCCGTAGTTTGGAAGAACCCCCCCACAAGGCTCAAAGGTCCACTTTTTATGTAAAGGTCCACTTTTTGGTCCACTTTTTATGTAAAGGTGCAAGATTTTTCTTGAAAAGATGGACTGGAATCGTAGAAAAACTGCTCCTTTTGTCATTGAATAAAAATTTATCTCTGATTTTTTCTTGGAAATTCTCTCAAAAACGCATGAAATGCCATTTTAGAAGGTTCATTTTTAAAAATTTCCCAGGGGAGCATGCCCCCAGACCCCCCTAGGAACCTCATGCGTTCGGTGCTCAAGGTCCCCTCAAGCAGTGGGAAGAACCCCCCATTCAAAATCCTGGCTACGGGCATGAATTTAGACCCAAAGTAACAACAATAATGGTGACCTAAATGAAATCCTGTATATATGTAATACTATGTTGTATGCTATGTCAAGTCTCATTTATAAACAATTGTTTCCAATGATCAAAATGAAAAATATCTCCAGCTCAAATATTTTCCTAGACTCAGTGATCACATTTGAATGTTGAACAAGTACAGTGGGTAGAAGAATAAAGCAACTGCATTGTTCCTTTAATTCTAAAACTCTCTATGATTCAGAAAAATATACATCAATCAAAATATCTTACAATCACTGTGGTTGGAATGTGCTGATTTCTCCTGTAAGTACTATTGTTGTTATCCATTGTAAGTACCATCAATGATTCTTTTTAGCATCTAAAAGCTACTGTAGTACAAGACAAAATAAATCCTCCCAATTCAGCCCAATAGAAATTTAAGGTGACAAAACCCATTTTTCCTGTCCACAGCACCCCCTATCTGTTGGCATAAGTACTACAACTTCCAAACCTTACTGCACTTCATAAAGAGGGCTCCAAGATGAATTATCTCTTAAAGTCTCAGGAGTCTTGCCCAATAAATACCCTGCACCTTTGTGGCTCTGATTCTGAAGAATGTTTAAAGTAAATATAGTAACCGTTGTTCCCTGCACAATTCTTATTGACACCAGGTCAATGGAATTATGCCAAGGCCTAAAGGAATAAAATGTTGTGTTTCTTGTTTCAGTCGTTGGAAAAAATTGGGGTCCGTAGATATAGGGATTCTCTTTTTTCCTTTCTTTTTTTTAGACTTTGGCAATACATTGTATCTAGTGAGCCAACTTGTACAAGTCAGTTTAACAAAGTAAAACTTGCATAACAACAGTTATATTTTCAATGTCAATGTTGGAAAACTGATTGTACAACGTTTTATCACTCAGGTGTCAGATCATGGAGCTAGAAAAGGTTGATCAGCTCAAAAAATCTTTATCCCTTGTGGGGGCCCACACAAAAAAGGCTAGGATCCACAGTTTTTTTTCCTAGGGTCGGTCGGGTAACGGGAAACGCAACATTTTTTTTCCTAGGCCCAACATGATATACACACCTCTTGGTCTAACAATTCAGGTGAGCATTAAATATTGTCATCAGAGACTTTTTTAGAGCATATTTGTGAATGAAAATAGAATGTTCTCTTTCACAGCTCCTTAAAACCATGGCATTATCAGGCTATCACCATGTTAACACCAGTAATATATAGACCTCTTGTATATGTACATAAAAACACTGGGTTACAGGTATTTTGTATTTGCCAGTTCTTCACAGTACCCTTTTGTAATATTCCTATAGCCTAAAAACTGGTGGTTTCCAGCACAGATTCTAAGTACTAACCAGCACTTAGTATCACCGTTGCTTTCCTTTAAAGTCATCCAATGCAATTTCAGGGCAGCAAAACTGGATTTTCATTCAAAGTTAATTTTCTGGTCATTCTTTTTTATTGTTCTGTATGAAATTGAATCAGTCCTATCCCACTGCATAGTTATATCTGTGTGACAAAAATGCGATGTCACTGATGGAAAACGTTGTAATTGTGCTGTAGGCTGCTTTGTGTCGTAGGATGCTTTGCACTTCTGGCTATTTCTTGGCATATCTTCTTTTTAGGCAAAGTATATATTTTTAGATGATGACGAAAATGTGGTAAGAAATGGCATCAAAATTAATGTCAATATCAGAGATTTCCTTATACAAAATTTCTGTTTTGCCATTCTGAAATTGCATTGGATGTTCTTTGACCACCCTTGAAATATAATAAATATGGGAAAAAGGGGGCAGAGAGATCTAGCAGCACATCTGCAGAAGACACCTTGTGGTACCTAAACATTTGCTGTACTTTACACTCCCTTTCATACAGCGTTTGGAACATGTAGGAAGAATCATTGAATGCCAAACTAAATGCTGAATATATATAACCAACCACCTTACAGGTGATCTTTGGAGAACTTCAGGAAAGAAGATGGCATAAACTTAAGGAAAGAAGATGGCATAAACCTGGAGCTTAATATGATAAACCAATCCCTGTGATAACTTAAGATAACCTTATAGGTATTGTTGTCATCACAGGGATAGAATAGGCATCCTCATCTCTGTATAATACTTTAAAAAGTGTGCACAATCTCAATACCTTCCATATGAACTAACACCAGTTAAAAAATTTTTTCCTCTTTAATACCTTATTTCAAAAGAGCTCATATATGTATTTCTTTCTAATACCTTGTGTTGCCTTGGAATGGTACTGCATAGATTTTACCAAGGAGCTCAAAATCTAAAATTTCAGGAGCTTAAAATCCAGAATTAAAGCTCCTTGATTTTACATAACCCACTCAAATTCAGCTCATTCATTGGTCCAGAACATACCACATGTAGAAAAGTCTAGTACTGTAAACCACTTTATATTCACGGTAGCAAAATGTCATGGTTTGAAAAAAATGTATATGTTCGCGGAACTATATATTCATGGTGGCTTGGTACGGAAGAAAGAAAGCGGGCAAATTATTTTTTTTGTAGTAATGATTAAATTCACGGTACAGAAGTGACTGCAAAAACCGTGATATAAAAGTACAGTGAATATTAAGTGGTTTACATAGTGATGCATACCTAAACTCAATTTTAGGTTCAGGTCCGGATTCAAGTCCAGAGGTTTAGTTTCAGTTCCAGACTTGTAAGTCTGGACCTAAACCCATGACATATACAATATTGCATGTTGGCAACCCTGCAATGTTGTCTGGGTGAAACTTTGGCCACATAACATGGAGGCCGGTACTTGACGATGCCTGATGGCAAATTGTTTTCTTCATTTTGCAGCACAGATTTTGCAATCTACGAAAGGTTTTAGGTAGTTTGGAAAGAAAAGGGGTATGTGAAATGGTCTTTTATGGTAATAAGTCCGGACTCGGTTCTTGACTTTAAGGTTTTTTTGGACTTGAACCTAAACATTCTTACAAGTCCGGATCCAAGTCCAGTGAACCGGTATGCATCACTTAGTCTAGGTTTACAGTACACTGTTGAAAGCCTGGTCCCTACATGAGCAGCCCAGACTTGACAGCCTGTTCATACAGGTTGGCTGTCGGCATGAGACCCTGACCCTGCAGGTAGTGTTCCTCACACTCCTGTGGCACGCTGCGGTACTTCAGCGCCATCTTGAAGCAAGACTCGGCAAAGAAGTTCCTGAAAAGAAATGAAAAATGATTATTTCCTATCTCGTTACAAATGCAAATTTTTTTGAGGATGCTACATGTATATCACACAATGATTCTATCTATAACTAGAGTTCCACAATCTCATACCTTCGCCAAATGATGTTAGCCTTTATGACTTAGAAATTGAATTATATTAATCCCCCTGATTATGCAAATAGGATCCTAAATTGCATGAATTATATCCATAACATTATAGAAAATCCCTTAACCAAAGCTGCAGGCAGGTACTCATTTACACCTGCGTGAAGTACTAGTGAGGAAAGTCGTGTAAAGTGCTTTTAAAAGTCCCTACCTGAGGTCTGTGTCCAGACTAGTCTCCAGGAAGCGCCTGATAGGCAGGATGTGGCTCTTTGGAGCAGTGAAGCTGGTGAGAAAGTCCTCCACGGTGTGGTGCAGGTGGTTAGGACGGGGTAGGATCCATTTCTCCGGCCGGGCCAACATGTCCGCTTCTGTAAGGAGAGAAACGGCCATTAATAACATGTTAGATGATAATACTGTACAGCTTTAATTTTATAAAACATGTGCATACAGTCAGAGCAATATGTTTCATCCAAGTTTCCTGTTTGACAGATACACTGTACAAACTGCCAGTGAGTGAGATTCATCTTACTGATCTTAGCATCTGAGCTTTTTAGTTTATTTTGTTGGTCAAAATTCGTTAGATTTATAGAATAACAACAGTACTGTTCTCTGGGTTATTTTAAAACTATTAGGCCCAGGAAAAAATGCTGCATTTCCTGTTTCAGTCCTGAAAAAATTGGGGCAGTATAATCTTAAAGTTTATAGATTTTGGCAATCTCTGGTGATCCAATGTATACAATACAGTTAAGTGTGAGGACAGTTATGTTTTCAATGTCATTGTTGGAAAACTGATTGTACAATGGTTCGTTACTGAGGTGTCAGATTATGGAGCTAGCAAAGGTTGATCAGCTTGAAAAATGTAATACTATGAGTGCACACAAAAAAAGGCTAGGGTTGGCAGTTTTTTCTAGGGTCAGTCGGGAAACAGGAAACACAAAAAATTTTTTTCCCTAGGCCTTACAGCCCTCTCTGTGTCCCCATGTCCTATAATGTCCTATAATGTACTCATTCAAATGCATCTAATATATAATATGTGTATTTCAACATCCACTGACCAGTAGGTAGTTTGTTGTAGTGGTAGAAGACAGGGTGGAGGAAGTTGGAGTTGTGGGCATCGCTGGCCTCTCCAGTAGCTCGGTCTGACCGGAATATGTCCTTTCCAGGGCCTAGAGGTCAAACACATAGGAACTCTGTTCAATTCATCATAGTGAATAAATATTACTAGTATCATCATATATATTAAATATAATAAAAAGTGACATGCACACAGTCCTTGTACAGTTACAAAATATAGAACAAAGCAACATAACATACATATCAAAGTCAACAAATTTGTTATTTTGCAAGTACAGAACAAGTGTCATGAACAAGCTCTAGTAGACATTATTGTCAGCAGTGTTCTAGCTGGCATGAAATGTTTTTGGTCATCTCAATTTTGTTCAGTATAACATGAGTGCCAAAGCCACAAGGTGACGACCCTCAATCCGGGTGCAAGAGGAGGTTTTTGAAATCTTGACCCTCTGAAATGCTTTTACCTAGTACGTGTATATTGATGGGCAAATGTTCCTGGTATACATCTGGCTATTAGATAATCATTACACGCCAATTTTTGTTCATCAAAGACAAGGGATTAAGCAAAATTTGTGTCGAAATTCTGTGAAATGACGGAAAGACGGATGCTGGCAGGAACTCTGCCACCATATACTGTATCAACCCAGCTGCCCACCTGAAAAGTTCTTGCCATACTCCAGTGCCACCACTATAAACTGTTCCCCGTCATGTCCTGCAACCTTAGGGAGGGCAGGCAGCAGGCGGATAGGGAATTCTTCCAGGTACGCAAAAGATGTTCCACCACTATGGACACACAGAAGAATAAACTTTAACATGTAACAAAAATAAACTATGTGAAATGCAAAGTGACACTGTCAACACTCGACATAACAATAATGATTGCATTGTGTAAAGTGTTAAGAACATAGTACAAACTGTACATGCACTAGCTAAGTAATACATTGTAGTTGCAAGAATTCTTGGAAGTGTTAATTCAAAAAAGTTTCAGTAGTCTGTGAATAGTTTCATTAGTTGGCTATCTCAAAAGACTGACTGACAGTAGTATACATAAAATTATACTTCGATCTTTGAGTAGATACTTTTATATCTACTTTGTAAAAATCCCATTTCCCCTCACTTTTTGAGAATGATGATGTCGCCCAGTACACTGAACATCTGGTAGAAGCCTGATCCCTCGTTGAGCCGTTTGACAATGGTGCTGAGTAGCTGTGTGGTGGGCAGGCTGACGGAGGGCCAGGGAACACCGTGGTTACGCCACTCCAGCAGGTGGGACATCGCACGAGCTACAACAATAACATGAGTACAGGTTTAACTAGTGCATAATGTACCGGTTCACTGGAACTACATTTGTAGTTCTGGACAATGTAAAAATGTTCAGGTTCAAGTCAAAAAAAAAAAACTGAACGTCCGGAACTAGTTCTGGACATGTAAAAATGGTTAGGTTTAAGTAAAAAAAAAACCTGAACGTCTGGAACTTAACTAGTTCTGAGAGTTGGAGAGTTAAAAGTTTATCTGGCACAGAAATTAGACAGACTTGGAGTTGACAGCGAGCCAAAAAGCTCAATGTTTCACCTTTGCCTAAGTCCTGTGTGGTCTGTAAAGTTATTATATAGTCTAACTGTACCTCCTGTACCATGCAATTTGTGCTTAAAACCAATGCCAAGTTGCCAAGTGATCATGACCCAAGGAACTAAAACATTCTTTTCCTTCCTCACTTGCAGTGACTTGTGTAGATAGAGACTTTAAACTTCAATGTTACATACTGTTAAAAAATTGCATTATAACACACTGGACACATGATTATCATATCACAGAACTCTGTAACAAAATATATGATTATAATTACAATGAAGCAGAATAATTCTTTGAAGCTCAAGTGATTTTTTTTTTCATTGCAATGAGTTTTAACCTTATTGTTGACCTAATAAGCTTGCTAAAGCAACGTGCCTGGGCGACATGCTCCAACTACAGTCATGTAACTGCAGTATCCTGGTATCATGGCCTGAGAAACAGTTAGTACATGACACGTCTGTGACAGTAAACAGGAATGCAGTAAGGCCATGTTGGCACAACAGACAGGTCCTGCTAACATACCAACAGGACAACCTTGCTAACAAGGAACCAAGTGTTTGTGTTCCGGCCAACTTTTGAAAAATTGGTCATTATGAGGTAGATTCACAGATGATAACAATTTAGACTGTTTAAATGTTGATTAAAGTTTTACAGGCCTCAAATACATGTACATGTATATTTTTATTTGGTCATTGGTGAGTGATGGGGAGTAGGAATATATCCCATTGGGCAAGCATTTGGCCAAGCACATCGAGTCTATACTTTTTGCAAGAAGTGTGTTGCACTCTTTAATGTGAAATAAAGTTGAAATGAAACCACAGTTACTGTTAACATTTAAAGAACAATTGTTCAGACATATTATGTCATCTCTAGGAGTTGTAAATTTGTCTATGCATGTTTTCAAACGAGAGAAGAGACTTTGTACTTAAGTTGTAGATATAGACAAAATAAATTCACCCAGACGTTGTGCCCTTGGGAAAGGCACTTAACACACATTTCCCCCCTCAGTTAGAGGGATCCTGGGCCCTAATAGGGTTTGGGTTGGCGTTAGGAAGGGCATCCAGCTGTAAAAATCTTGCTTCAACAAAATGACTTGTACTTCGTGCAAGCACGTCTAACCCCCGGTTCGGGGGAAAATGACGTTAAAACGATTTTTTAAAACAAGTAATCTTAGGCTAGTAATTCTTTCTCCTACCGTAAGACTTATACTTACAAATTGCATGTAGTTATCTAACTTAGTGCATTAATTTTGGCCCATGCAGGGTGTGAATATGCAAGTTCATTGTCATTATGATTGTCATTGCCTATTATAAACCCCACCTGTGTATCTGAATCCGTGGATGAAGCCCCCTGCTGACTTGCGGAAGTCTAGGGAGTGAGTACAGGTGCCAGCGAAGAACATGCCGGGAACGGTGCTGGACTCGTAGTTATGCTTGATGGTGGGGTACTTGCTCTTCCTGTTACGCCCCATCTCAACAGCAGTGGATCTGGAGGAGGGAAAAACGAAAAACTCATCAGTGATGCAGGACTTGAAAATTAACTTTTCTTCCTATTGTTCCAGCACTGTCCCAAAAATTAATTTCAATTGAATGTCCCAAAATGAGCTGTCCCAACCTGTTTATATTATTATATGACTTTAAGTTGAAGTCATTGCAACTTAATTTTGCTTATGTTCGCTCCAAGGCAGTCACTATAAAATTGCAGAGTAGACAGGAAATTAGGGGGACTTTTCCGGATCCAAAAACCGGGACGTGTGCCTGATAGACAGAAGAAGAGCTGACATTTTGATGTTGATTATTTTTCAATTGTCCTAAAAATGTCCCAAAGTGCCTAGTTGTCCCAGCCTAAATTTTAGTGGTGAGTGACCATTGGACCACCTTTAATTTCAAGCCCTGTTACTTACTCATCAAAAATGCTGTTGTCGAACTTGAAGCCCAGCGCGCGTATGATGACATCGTAGGGATCACGGACAGCGAAGTTGTCCACGGGCATCTTGGGAGGCATGTTAGGATCTCTCTCGGTTTCTTCTTCCTCTGGAATGTCTTCATCGTCATCGTACACATCCAGGTAGAGTTTTCCGCTCACGTTTAGGATCTTCAGTTTCTCCACGTTCGCCTCCAATACTGCATCTAAGGACTTCAGCTGGTACGTGTCAAGCAGTCCATTGTTGATAGCCCTGGAAAGGAGACGAAGAAAATAATACTGTACAATTATTATTGTTAATCTAAAGTCTCCAACTGTATCCTTTCAACTATCTATTGAGATTTGATTTGATTTGATTTGATTTAATGAAATTACAACAGTGCAATACGTACATGCGGAACAAAGGCAGCTGTTGCTGGTGTTGTGTTCCACACATAGAAACAAATACTGGACAGACAGTTCTCATTTTCACTTCAGTCTAGTCGGGAAAGTCGTGTTAAGTGCCCTTCCCAAGGGCACAAGATTGGTGGCATGTCAGGACTTGAACCCAGGACCTCTTGATTCCGAGTCACGCACCCTGCCGTTGCGCCACGCGAACCCACTCAGAGATGGGTACCATCCGGATTTTCGCTCCCCACACTCAATTTTTTCGAGCGTTGTGGAGTGAAAATCCGGATGGTATTGTAGCCTATGATATTAGCATTGATACTACATATTTAAATCTTCTTGTTTAATGCCCACAATCATGATAATGATCATTCTGGCATACTTGTTTTCATGCACCTGAGTGAAGAGAGGAAAGTCATGTTGAGTGCCTTTCCCATTTAGGGCATAAGATGGGTGACAATTGGCAGGATTCAAACCCGTGACCAGTTGGTTCTGAACTGAATGCTCTGCCTTACGCCACACAACAAATTGCATTGATTCTGTAGATCACTTTATATTCGCAGTAGCAAAATTTTGCAGTCTGAGAAAAATGGACATTCGCAAAACTGCATGTTCGCTGTGGTGGCAGGTGCAGATGGAAGAAAGTCCGAAAATTATTTGTTCCCCGTAATGATGAATTTGCGTTACAGCTTAGTTAATGCAGTGGTATCATTAAAAGTTCAAAATTCTTTGTTTAAATTTTGAACCAGCATGGTGTGTTGATTTCATGGCTCCTATTTTTAGGCCATAATAGGATGCCTAGGCCTGTTTTTGTTTTAATTTTTTTTCCCGCTCCATTATTTTTCTAGAAAAATCCGTTAACCAAGAAATTAAATTGGTGTGGCCTAAGCTACTGCTGAAAAGGTTGCTGACTCACCTCAAGTCTCCGACGTAGTGCGTTGCCCAGGACAGCCTGACTCGACTGCGGGCGAACATGTGGATCAGGTTGGTGGCGTGCATGATGTGGTCTGCCGTCTCGAACGCCGAGTTCCCGCGCCCGAGGATCAGCACGGTCTTACCCTCATAGTCGTCAGGATCCAGGGACATGTCCTCGTACCCGACGGTGTGTTCCAGACCCTTGATGTCAGGAACGTTGGGAACCCAGACACCTGTGGCGACTATCAGGGTCCTGAGAAGAGTAAAATGAACAGTCTTTTAAAGAGATATTGTGTAAGATTTAAAGTTAAACATTGTTGTTTACACATTTTCTTGCGCTTTAAGCCTTCCTGAGTTTATAATGACATTTGGGGAGTAAAAGATCAATGCCATTGCCCTGCAAAATGTTGGAAGACTGTCAACTCCTGGCCTGGCCTGCAACGCTCGATTTTTTCAAGCGTTGCGTAGCGAAAATCCGGATGGTACCCAGGCTAGTCAACTCCTCCATGCTAATGCGAATCGCAGCAACATTGCTTTTTACATTCTTTTTAGGAGCCTCCTAAAAATACAGCGGGGTTGGCGTAATTTATTCTCATGGGGTCATGCTGCACTGAGTCCAGAAAAGCAATATAGAGACTTTAATACATGTTGAAAGTTATTGAAAATGACAATCTAGATGAGAAAATTTCAATTAATTATCAATTATGATAACAGTTAAACTTTACGTGACCAACACAAAGTAAATTGGGACTTACCCCAAATTTTCCCAATTTAAGTCCCAATTTACTTTGTGTCGGTCACGTAAAGTTTACTTTGTGTCGGTCACGTAAAGTTTACTTTGTGTCGGTCACGTAAAGTTTACTTTGTGTCGGTCACGTAAAGTTTAACTGTTATCATAATGTTATATACCAACACAGATGAACTTTCATGCTAAGATTCAATTAATTATATTTTTGGCGCAAAAATCTTGGTTTGTAAGTTTGGAAACACAAGTATATTTAGTGGTAGCAAAAAAGTTAAATGTTTTGAGTTTTTTTTTTAAAGAAAACCTTTGTGCCATCTAGATCTTAGTCAAACTGTTGACGACCTTACATTTATTTGCAGGTGGTCATTCGACTTTCTTTACTCAGCCCCCGTGCTGTAGTCACTGTTTTTATCATCCATATTTGTGAAGTAAACAGTGCACCATGCACATTAGGCTTCTGTGAATTGTCTTCCATCAAAATCAACAAAAACAATTCAGGGAGAAAGTTTTTAAATTAGCAATTGACATATCAAATATATGCCCAACAATTAATGATATCATCAGATTAAAAAACTTGCAATTGATAATCAGACCAACATAATTCAGCAAACAAATTTTACTTCCAATTTTTAAATCCAAACACCAAAATTAATATTGTACAAGTACTACCGTCACTTTATTATAATTATAGTGAAGTTAACAGTGTACAAACCAAATGGGTGAATGTTCAATGGCAACGTAAATTTACCTTGTCCTCACATGCCCTAGACTGCAAATTAGATTTTTCTACTGTTTTATTTGGTAAGTTCTCAGGGTGGACCAGAACTGTTGTTCAACTCACGTAGGAGCAACAATACCTGTGTGTCAGCACAAAACACCCAGTGACACATATACAACAAAGTCCCACTGAGGAATACTGCCACAGGGGGAGGTGGCTGCATGGATGTTAGCATTAACTTACTGGGGGCCTTTATAGCAGCGTGCAAAATACCTGGTTGCCCAGTTGCCCCGGGCAACCAAATTTTACTTGGGGCAACCTATTTTTGAACCTAGGTAGCCCAGTGTGCTACCTGAACTTTAAGAATGCCCCCCCCCCAATCATGCCCACTTGGCTTGCACAACTGTATCCGGCAGGTGCTTTTTAATTTTAGGTATTAATGGCTATTACTAACTACTAAAGGCGGTTACTAACTTGTTAGACGTATTGTCAAAGGCTTGTGTATGGAACAGTACTTAATTTTAGGAAAGTAGTAACTTATAGGTGGGGCAACCTACAATTCTGATGAGGAAAGTAGTAACTTATAGGTGGGGCAACCTACAATTCTGATGGGCAACCTAATTTTTGCCGTAGGTTGTACACTGTTTATAGTAAGTTACTGTTACAGTTACTGTTAGTAGCAGTCAGGGCTTGAAATACTTTTTTTCCTGCATACCTGCAAAATTGAAAATTACCTGCAAAAGACAAATTTTACCTGCACCATTCAGACTTTGAAGTTTGAGGAGTATTGGACCATACTAAAAACTGCTCAGAAACCCTTGCCATCATTTCATACATACATGTACAATGTAGGTGGTAAATTTCAAAGTCTTTGATTGAAGGAAATAAAAATCCACATAGTATATATTACACTTATCTATCCAGTACACGGACCAGTGCAGGTTAGGTGCAGGTAGACAATTCAGAAATACCTGCACAGCCCCAATTTTTCCTGCACTAAAAATAACCAGCATTTGCACCCAGTATTTTGAGTCCTGGCAGTGTTTACAATGACATCTTACAGATAGAATAATGCATTTTCCCACAGACTTTGGCTTCAAAGTCTATCCTTGAAAAACTAAGCCTGCATTGCCATGGCAACAAAGATGGAAGTCTCTCCCTCAAGGACATATCCTTCAGGCTAGTAGAAAATTAAACAGTGTGGGAAACACAGGAAAAAGAACCACCTGCCTTCAGGCAGTTACATTAAATATTTGAATGTTACTTACTTAAGACTTTGTGTAACAGGTATTCACGTACTCTGGGCTCGAAATTCATTTTTGGGAACAGGTGCACTGGTGCACCCAACCTAAAAAATTAGGTACTAGTACACAGAAAATGTTTTGGGTGCACCATATAAAACAATACACATCTTACTGCTCCTCTTTTGATCTTGAATCTAAAATGAGAGCTAGCTTCAAAATCTTAAACAAGTACTACAACAAAGGTTTTATGATTGTGACACTTCTATAGATGCCAAGAATATCCTGTGTACAATTATACATTTGATATGTACAAAAATACCTACAAAAATATTTGGGTGCACTGGTGCACCCACAGAAAAAAATTGGATGCACAGCTCCAATTTTGGGTGCACTAAGGTGCACTTGCACCCAGTATTTCCAGCCCTACGTACTAGTAGGCAAGTGATCTAACGGGTTGTGTAATATAACTTCCCATGAATCAAATATTTTGTACATGTACAAGTATATCTTCTGGAATATAGTCTATCAAATGATATATGGGGGCCTGCATGGGGGTGTCCAGACAACGCTCTACGCTAAATTTTGAGAGTCGGGTACATATTATGCTAAATTCAGGAAACCTCTCAATTACGTTTTACAATAAATTCTATGTAGCTACAATGCATTGCATAGAATTAAAGCGGCCGATTACGCTCTATGGAAAAGGGCGTGTGAGCCCCCATATACATTTAAAAACATTTTCAAGCACCTCAAAATTACCTTTTGGGCAAATTAAAGAATCTGTACTGCAAAATGACTGTTTTAAATTACTGCTCCCCAAAAAATGGCACACAGATAAAACCTTAAGTTTTTTTTGAAGGCTGATTAAATACTAGTACATCAGTACAATTTACTAGTTACATGGCCGTATTAAAACTTTACAAGGCCTAGAAAAAAATACTAGTAGTTGTTTCCTGTTTCCCGACTGACCCTAGAAAAACCTGCCGACCCTAGACTTTTTTCGGGTGGACCCCTTCAAGGGACATATCTTTTGAGCTGATCAACCTTTTTTCTAGCTCCATGATCTGACACTTGAGTGACAAAATGTTGGTTTTCTATCATTGACATTGAACTTGAAAGTATCCTCATGCAAGTCTTACTTTCTTAAATTAAACTGTATTGTATAAGTTGGACCCTATATAGATATCACTGAAGTCTAAAAAAAAAGAAGAAAATCCCTACCTACCGACCCAAATTTTTTCAGGACTGAAACAGGAAACACAACAGTTTTTTTCCTACTCCTAGGCCCAATAAGTTATGATGTACTTACTGGCAAGCGTATGTGCGGTTGTTTTGGTCCCGTAGTATGAAGAGATGGTTAGAGATGGCGGTGTGGTTGGCCACCCTGGAAACACCCTTCACATCCGTGCTGTACTGCACTTTCAGCTTCAACTTTGTCGCGTAGTCGTGCAGATACTGTACCAAGATATCGGCCTGGGGAAAGAACTCTTTGGAGTAGTGCCGTATCTGTAAACTATCGTCGTCGCTGAGAAGAGAGTTCCAGTCGTGGCGCATGTTGAACTCCTTGTTGGTCTTCCCCGTGTTTCGCTTGTTGATGCTGATGAGCTTGCGGTGGCGTGGGTACGTCTTGTAGAACGTTCCCGCGCCGTCCCCGCGCTCCAGGATCAGGTAGTCGCGCCCGGCGCGCTCGAGGTAGAACCCCATTTGTAACCCCGACGGTCCAGCGCCGATGACAAGATAATCGTGGTAGACATCGAAGGCTTGTTTCGCGTCGCCATCTTTACCGAGGGAGTCTGTCTTCGGGATGTCTTCTCCCGCTTGAATGCTGGCAAGAGGAACGTCGTGAGACGACTGCTGAAGGCACGGCGGAACGGCCGCCACGACAAGGAGCACGACGGATAGAAGATTGGCGTACGGAAGGGCAGCCATGCTTCTGATAGACAGGACAACTTCTAAAAATCTGTCTGCAGGCTTAAGTACAACTTGTGATCCTGTAGAATATACAAAAGAAAATTGTGATGTCAGTAATCTGTTTAAGTCAACATGACCACACACACACTCAAACAGAGTCCACTACGCATACTGCAGCTTTAAGTTTAAATTTCTTCTAGCAACACCTCTAATATCTATGGGATCAACATATTTTTTTATTTTTTTCAACTTGACCACACACACAGTCAAGAGAGTCCATTAGGCCATGTTGATTTGATTATATGGATGACATCCGCGCGCGCATGAATTTTCGGCCGTTTCCAAAAAAAAAGTTTTCAACCATACTGTAAATCGTACAAAACAGTTGCAAAATGAGCAAAAATATACCATAGGTTACAAAAAAATTAATAAAAACTATACCAATGTCGTAGAATGCCAAAATCAAACGAAAAAAGACGAAATTGTAAAGAAATGAACTTGAAGACTAGATTATTCGCCAAACCATGTTCTGTGCCATTTGCTCAACCCTCATGACCACGTAGATTTCATAATGAAAAGAACTTTTTTTTTTTGCAAAACTTTTTTTTTTTATTCGCACGCGCGCATCAGTTTTGGGGCTCCCGGAGGATGTCATCCATATAATCAAATCAACATGGCCTTAGACAAATTGTGGTGGTTATTATGAAAGACAAAGAACATAGTTTGTACCATGCAGCTTTAGGTTTAAATTCCTGATTTGATGACATTATAGCTGTTAGCAACACCTCTAATATTTTATGGGATCAACATATTTCTTTCATCGCCTGGCTAGCCAACGATTAATAAAATTAAAGCTCAAATGTGGACATTTGAAGTTGAAGCCATTCACTGAATTACATAACAGAGTATAAATGTAGATGTCCCATTAGGTGAGTGAGTGTAAGAAATACTTAGTACTTCTTTCAGTTATTTAACTAAACTAAATTGTAGGGACTGGTGTTGAGTTATCTGTTCTTGATCAAATAATGTTCAATTGGAACACAAACTTCAGCCTTAGTAGCAACAGGACTCACAAATTGACAAAAATATAGAATACAAAGACTTAGAATACAAAGAGTTTGTAATTGTATACATGTAATGTTACACATACATTGTTATCATATCAACAGTTTGAGTCCTGTTGATACAAACACTCAAGGACAATTTCAAACAACTGGCTAAAACCTACCTGAAACGTGCGGACAAATCTTTTAAAATAGTTGCTTGATCTTTTCCAGGAAAACTTAACAGTCTGGAGTGAAAAACATTTCCAAGAAGTCTACAGTAGTCTGAGGGTCAAATTACTAGACTAAGTACTTATTATTATTTCAGGTGTGTCAAAGAATGCAGGTGTGCCAAGGTGGGAGGGTCATGTTTTAAAAAGGACAATGGAGAACTCAGAAGCCCGGGGCTACATGTATGTAATGTAGGTGAATGTCAGCTTTATCCTAGCCAGTGTGCAAAATACCTGGTTACCCAGTTGCCCCAGGCAATTAAATTTTACTTGGGGCAACCTATTTTTGAACCCAGGTAGCCCAGTGTGCTACTTGAATTTTAAGAATACCCCCCCCCCTTCCCACGAAATCATGCCCACTTGGCTTGCACCACTGTAGCCGGCAGATGCTTTTTAATTTTAGTTATTACTGGCTATTACTAGTAAAAGTTAAGTTACTAAAGGCTGTTAGAAATATTGTCAAAGGCTTATGTATGTAACATTATTTAATTTGAGGAAAGTAGTACATGTTTTTTGTCCGTACGTTTTTTTTGGAGGCCACGTAACGTTTTTCTGAAAACGTGGAGAAGGTCTGGAAGAGCAGAGGGAGGGAGTACGTCAACACACATGCACATGGTTGCGCTACGTGTACATGTAACTTGTAAGAACGTGGTCTGCACGCTATGCCTGGCCATGAGCGGTTGCGTGCATAGTTCGTTGCGCAAGTGGTAAGTGAGTTGTACATGTACATGCTTGCAAAATGTACGATCTCTCTGCTATTGCCAAGTTTACTGTATGCAGCTGTACTTACACATGCTGCTTAGGTATGGTACGTATAGGGCACACGGGTCACCTGTACTGGCTCATACGGGTGAAGAATCTGCAGCCCGCAAGCAGAAAAAGTTTACATGCACTTATAAAGTGCTATGGCATGACTATATGCTTCCAAATTCGTTGGATTCTGTACAGAGGCGGCACTTACGGATCCCAAGAACTTGAACACGTTTTTGCACATAGACAACAGCAGGTTGTGCCCCTATGAAGTCACAAAGTTTTGGGTATGGGGAAATGTACACATTAATTACCTGCACTGATAACTGTGTGAAATCAACAGGTGGCATGGGTCTGTGTTATACAACATTTCAACTGGGTACCATTCCAGTGAGCTTAATTGTCCTCTTGGATAATTATAATGTTATATATTTAAGTTGTAACTATCCCAGGGGACTATTAAAAACTGGATTGCTAAAATTTAGTAACAACAGATAAAGGACAGTTGTGATATCCAATGCAATTTCAGCACAGCAAAACTGGAAATATTCTGAATAAGAAATGTTTGTGACATTGACACTTTCTGCTTCACATTACCACATTTAAATCAGCATTTCATACTTTGGGCATTTAAAACTGCAGAAACAAGTCCCAAGACGAGTCCTTTATTTTCTGGGTGGTACCTTAAAAATCAGCCAAGGGCCCTTCCAGTAACCATTTTTCGTCAGAATTTTGGGAATTTTTTCTCCATGAGGGTCAATATACATTGGGATAGTGTGGTTTTAGCTCTGTATGTTACAGTAGATAAATGACAAGAATGATGGCTTTGGAAAATTGGGTTTCCAAGCCCTAAAAACTGCACTGGATGCCTTTAAGGTATGGATCGGAGAGGAGATAACGTTAAGAAGGATGTCTATAAAGTGATAAACCAACACAAATGTTTTATATTACTAGTGGTTGAGCAAAATCTGTATTTTGTATAGTAGTAAATACTAGTAACCAAAAAAAAGGTTTGGGTCAGCAAATACTAAACATTTGCGGGTACACCATTTTTTCCAATTATATCACTCCTTGGATATCTGAAACCTATTTTTATCTAAACATGTGTTTATAAAAACATAAAGCACACACAGTTTGATAAAATCCAGATACAGATCACCACTATAGTGTGGCATGCAAGTTGGCTGACAAAATCCAGATACACAACAAAACCATGCAATTATGTAGTTGGGGACTAACTAGCATCTACTAGTAGTAATTACATTACGCAATTAACATCAACATTTTAAGTTCTGAGACCTAGGATTTTATGTTATGTTCTTGCTAACACAGATGCTATGTATTCCTCACTATAATGATAAATGCATAGTATGATAATTCATATGTCAGGCATATGGTTGGCGAAAATAAGACAACGAGGAAGTAAAACGTGTCTTTTAAAATAGCTGATACGGCAATTTCGCCTCGGCTAAACAACCACCTTATACGGCAAATTAATAGGCTCCAGGGATTCTTTCGGCTTGTGAATCTCCAAATTATAACTACATTTTATTTTGAGATTACAGACAGCACAAATTCTGAGGTTTTTAGAGAAAGAAGGACGGTATAAAAAGGAGAATTCGCACATGTCAGTGCCCCCCACCCCAACAAAATTTACCGCTTCAAAAACAGACTTCTTGAAAGACCAAGTAAGACACTTTACTTTTAAAAGATTTCGTTTTCAAGCTATTCAATACTCACCTTTACACGTAGCTGAATACCGTAACGTTCTTCTATGTACAGCTCGGTTTCATAACTTCATGTCCGTCACCTCTGGCTGCCTGGCTTCTTCTGAGAAAGTTGCAGGGCTGTCACTATTTACACCCACAATTTACTTCCGCCTACGTTTTCTGGGGGTCTAGGTAGAGTTTCTACGGATATCGGTAATTTATTTGCAAGCACTGTTATCAATTTTTTTCGCTAAAATCATTCAAGAGAATGCAACAGTTAGTAGCAGTTAAGTCAACGCTGTGTTATCTACATTCTTGTTGCATGATTTTTTTGTGATTTCAGGTTTAAAAGGGCCATTTGAGAGCTCACGTAACCTCTCAGTAGACCCTTGATTACTCCGCGTTACATCACAACGTGTGTCTGTAGTGTGTCGTTGAACCGCTAGGCGTCGCTGCGACTCGACCCAGTAACAACAGCACATGCCAATGGATATACTCTTACCATCTATTTCCATGAAGAAGAATTGTTTTTAATCAATAGTGAAGTATGATTTTAAGCTGGTGTTTGCCAATGTTGATTTGGTACTGTAACAACATACCTTGCATACATTGTTGTGATATCCTTCGAGAATAAAATTACATTATATAACGTTACTGTAACAGTACAATCTCAGGGCCTGGAGAACCCGGATGCTGACCCAGTTAACTCTTGACTTCCAGTATCCTCTGTAGGTTTGAGAACCACTTTCTACGAGGTAGCCTGCCGGCTAGAACCGGTTTGGGTCATTTGCATTTACTTCCAACCAATCAGGAGTAAGTTCTCAACTGATCACCTACTGTCAATCATGTAAAGATCTTGGATGTATAGCTTGGTCTCTCCGATCTTCGAGGAGTCGAGTGGAGTCGAGTCGAGAGAGAGAAGAGAGAGAGACCAAGGCGTCGTCCGGTCACCCGGGTCCGAAGCATCCGTCTACTCCGGCCAGGAGTTAGTAGCTTAAAATGGTTCCATGAGTCTAGATTAGCGGGTCTACTTACCTTTGTAGATCGAAGCCTCCCGTCACTTCTGACTAGGTATGTAATAACTTTCTAGGTAACATTTGTGTTGTGCTTTAGTCAGGGTTTTAATGTGTAGTGTTCATGTACTCTTGTAGCTCTTCCGTGATGTTCAGTTAGTCCTTTTCCACATATAGTTGATTTGTTGATTTTAC